GTCAAAGCTATCACCTCGCACCTAACGATTCAGTCTCAGTACCTGTTTCTTGACCAGTGAAGTCTTCGAACATGAAATGAACTTCACTTTCACGCGGGGCTGTTGTTGCTGAAAATAACGCAACACGAGCGGTGGATCAAGGAACACAGCTAAAACTCAAGCCCTTGAATCGAGCGGTGGATCGCGCCCTCTGGTCAGCGAGAAAAAAGGGTGAAAAAGGCCCCGGTCCTCTAACCAAAGGACACAAAGCCAATGATTGCCAAACACTTCCTTTGCTTTCCCTTCTGCAATACTCATACTGACACTCTGGGACTCTGGCGACTAGCGACGGTCGCGAGAGCGAGCGACCACCGACGTTCACACTGCGGGCGCCTTTTGGTACCCGCCGTCGATTCAGTGCACCCCGCCAGAGGATCGCGTTTCGCTGCGTTTCCATTTTCGTTGTGTCACAGCTGTGCATGCCGCCGTCGTTGCCGTATGAAGAAGACTGGTTATGTGTAACTGGGTCCTTCGGAACCGAACAGAGAAGCACAATCGCTACATCGGCGAGCCCTCGCTCGAGCTACGACCGGCTTTTCGCACCGCAAAAATTAACTACACAGTGCGGGGGAGTTCCAACTCCGTCAAAACATAGCCCCAGCCTTTCGAGCAAGGCGCGAAAACGGCAACACTTACCATTACCGCAATAAAAAGAGGTAAAGCCAGTAAAGCTATGAGAGGACGACGTGCGTGAGAAGCAGCGGACGAAATGCCTCTGTTTGCGAAAGCATCTCACAGATGACGCTTCAATCGGCCAAGACGGCTCTGGAAAGCTATAGATTAAACAAAAGAGTTATTGCCAAAGAAAGCATTTATGACAATTCTAGGGGAAGCTCATTGCTGTTTGAGGCAAGAACGGGTGTTCTGCGAACCAGAACATACAGGGTGAAGTACCAGGAAATTGATACAGTGTGCACTGCTTGTGGAGAGGAGAACGAGACGGCTGAGCACTTGATACTCTACTGTAAAGGGCTTCACCCTATGCCTACCGAAGACAACATAGATTTAATAAAGTCATTGGGTTTTAGAGACAGCGAAGGGAGAGTGGATTTCAAGACTGTAGAGATTACCAAGCAAAGATTAAGTGAATGGTGGCAGAAATCAAGAGAAAACTAGGTATTTTCTTATCCACTGATGGCAAGGGGGTTTCATAGCCTCACTTTCTTTGCACTGCGGAGTGAATATAGATTTCACATTTAAATATTCTAAGCTTAAATGGTAAAACAAAATGGCTAGGTGGCGTAAGCTACCGCCCGATCCAAAGGGCTCAGCCGTATTCATCCATCCATCCATCCTGTTTTCTCGTTAGTTTCGGTTTCGGTCTGGCGGTTTGCTGCACAGTACCGCCACACCGTTTCTCACGTGCTCCGCTCAATTTGGGTACGATTCCAGGTTGTTAGTGGACTGCTTTTTTAAACTCAGGCTAGGCTCGCTCGGTTGTTTGGTTGTATAATGCTTTTGTTGATCGTGAATAAAGATGTTTCTTCACCAGCTGGCTCCGCATTTTTGTTGTTGTGGCGTCATCCTTGAAGGTAATAAAGCATATGAACTCTACGTAACAAAGTAAGCGATATCTGAGAAGAGAAGACGGCACATACAAAGAATCTAATCTGCATGGGCATTCAGAGACACGGGGAAGCAGGCGCGTCAAGATTGTGCCAGGCTGTGTGACGACAGCTTTTAACAGCCCTAAGAAGGTGCTTTGTCAGGGTTAACGAGCTCCCCAGTGATACACGCGCAGTTCGAAAAAGCGGTGGCCCGAGCGGCATGAGCTCTCAGCGTAGTGCATATAGCAATTTCCGTCCAAAGTGCACTACGTAGTCCATATAGCATCGCTAAAAAAATGCTTTGTTGTGCACTATTTTAAAGTGAAATTCACACACTAATTCTAGATCACTAGTCAGTGAGAGGCTAAGAACATAGGGCAAGGGAAAGGAGGAAGAAAGCTGGCGGAATGCTGAAGAGGAGAGAAAAAAACCTCTCCCCTCCAGCATCGTGTCGGCTTTCTCCTCTGCGTATTTCTTTGCGCTATGTTCTTAGCCTGTAACTGTGAGCATGATCGTGCCATTCATTACTGCAAACAAAGGTAACTGTTCAAGAAATACTTTATTGCAGAGCAAATGTTATACATGACTTTTTTCAATGTCTGCACCAGACGTGCAGTCTGGCTTCGCATCTTGGCCAGCACTAGTCCAAATAGTGAGCGGGATCTGCAGAAAAAAATCAATTCCATAAGCATTAATAATAAAAACAGGTAATATGAGAAACTTACAATCATGTCGAACATCTGCGGCCTTTGACTGCAGCTTTTTCAGTTTCTCTCCAGTGTGGCGCAGCCATACTTTGATGATGGTCTCCACGTCAGCTTTGTTTGCGCACTCAACATTTGATTTCACTGCTCCTAAAACATTGGTTTGTGATGACAGTCACAGCAGAAAGCTAAGATGGTGTAGAAAAAAATCACAATTTAAGTTCGTGCGAGGAAGATACCCTTGCTACCGAGTCTACTTTCGCACAGTTGAAAAGCTCGAAGCATTCGTTTACGCGCCTGCATCTTTCCCGTCGAAATGCCGTTCATTGCTTTCCGCCATTTAGAAGAATTCATTTAAAAACACACTAACCTTTGTCTCCTGCCTTGCATTGCTGCCATCATCAATTTGGATGGAAAAGCGCGGATATACGGACTTGCAACGCTGACTAACAACTCAGTGATATATCTCTTCTTCCTCAAATCGTCATCATCTTCTCCTTCGCCGTTAATGAGAACATTTTAAATTTTTAAACACAAGAAACCAAATAGCCAATAAACATTATTAAATGAAATTTCGCGCCCCCCAAAATGGCAGCGCGTAGCCCCGCTGCCATTTTTTTTTTTCCATCGGGCACAAGTTGGGTGGACTCGGCTCGGCGCCCCCTCCCAAGTGGCGCCCCGGGCACTTGTAACCCCCCCCCCCCCCCCCCCCCCCCCCCCCCCCCCCTTCTAGTTACGCCACTGACACTGACTCTGCTGTGACGCCGACTTCGACGCCCGCGAAGCTCTATAATTATCTTTTGTACCCTTTAATTTTTGGCACAAGTTCGCCTCATTAAAGCTTTATTTCTTCCTGTTTATTTATCGTCTTTTTGGTCACCACCCGTGACAATATAGATGTTGTCCAATCCTGAGGATCTCGTCGGAAAAATTGCCTGAGCGGCATCATGCAGCAGACGACACGGCGACGTCACACCATTCAAGTGACCCGCTCCGGCCAACCCGAAAAGCCCATCTCCGCTGCGAGCAAAAATCGTCTGCTTCAAACGCCATTGCCTTGGAAATTGCCTTCTCAAAATTTGCACACGCATCCGATATTATTAAAACTTTGATAAAGTGTTTAGCGCTTTACTAACTTCACGACAGGCTAGTTTTGAAAAATGTGAACAAGCCGTTAGTTTTTTAATCAGCCGTGTTATGTCGACCTCCGTGTATTCTCCCATAGGGCGGGCGGCGTGCCTCCTGGAACCCTGAGTACCACGTGACTCGCGCCGAGCCGCTCTGTCGGCCTTGTTGTCGGAAAAACACGGGGTTCAAAGGATTGCGCTACTCTGCGTAGTGCTCTAGTCCGACGGGCGTCGGAGGAAGTGAAGTGATAATAGTTTCGTTTCGTTCCTGAATTAAAACGTGCCTTAAAGGGACAATGAAGGCACTTTCGGACATCTGTTTGGCGATTGAACTGGGTTCCAGGCACGTCTCAGGCCACGTTGCCCAAATTTCAGCCGAAACCGACGCTTGTGTGCCGCGCAAATCAATTAAACAGTCGCGGCAATAATCGTACAGAGATCGACTGGGGCGACGCCCCAAGAGTTGCGGGAGAAGCCAGGAGAAGCGGAGCTCACGTGACTGATGCGGGGCCAAGGAGCGCGACGTCACAAGAGACGCGTCAGCGATTGGTCGAAACGAGAAACGTGCCCTCGGTCACGTTTTAGTTCGCGATTTTTAGAAATACTGTTCTAATTTCCGCTTGAATAACCATCAAAAGTAGAAATCGGATCGGAAATGATTACTAAACCGTAAATAAAGCAGCATCATTGTTTTTTTCTTTGCTACGCTGGACGCGAAACCGGCAACGAGCAACTATGGGCCAACAAAATAAAATTAAAAAAGAACACGGTACTGACGGCACTCGAAAGATTTTGCAAAATGGTAGCTGTAGATGGCTGTTCTATCGGTCGACTGAAGAGTGAAGAGTCAAGACCAGTATTCGTTCGGGCGACACTAGTTTTCACGTGTGGGTAGCTGTTCGTGTTCTTTGACGACAAAAAGGGGACGTCCGCGGAGGAACCGGATCCCGGAACGGCGGGATCGCTGCCGCTTTCCCTTCGGCACCTCCCCCGCGTCCGTCCTTCGGCATGCGGGCCGCTCGTTGCCGGCTGGGCGGTCTCCGTTGGGTGATGGCAGAGGCCGCCACACACGTACTCCCGTTCCGTTGGTGTTCGGTCACTGAACGGAAGCTCGAACTCGCCCGCGAGAGCAGCATTCGTCCATGTTGACAGAGTCGGCGCAACGACCGCGCTGCTATAACCCACCGCGGTAACCAGAGTCTCGATCTCCTAAATACTACCGATACCGACTATTCACACTTGACGTCACTCCCTACGTCACCTCCGTTTTCGGAGGCCCAGAAACGAGACTGGAGATGGTTCAGTTTCGGTTTCTTTACTTCTTTTGTCGGCACATAAATACACGTCATAAATGTCTACAAAAAATTGGGCGGCATGCTATGTTCCCAAGAAGCATTAAAACACCATTTAAAAAAATTAAATAAAATCGTCTTCATTGTCCCTTTAAACACCGTTTTGAAAGAAATCAAATTAAGATTGGACAGAAACTAATTGATAATATAATAAATCAAGAATATTCATAATAAAGTTCACAACTTTGTTTGAACAAAATAAAATTCTAAAATCAGGAAATATTTGTAAATGTAACCACGGCCGACTCAGTGTTGCAATTTTTTGGCGGTCGCCTAGTGCCTAGTGCCTAGTCGCTGTGTTTTGGATAGCTTCGTTTGTTCAGATCTTTCTTCTGGGGTAAATTTCAAGCACTTCAAGGAGCAAAGGAGAACGCCGATACGGATGGACTGGTTTTGACTCTGTGCAAGCCAGCGGTAAGTACCGATCTCGACAAAGGGAAGATCGGGGAACTACTGGCAGCTATTGGAACTACCGCGTGGGTCAAAGGGATCGACGGCCGTTTGAAGGGACGGCATAAATAGGGTAGGCGAGCGACGAAACAAGCGACGGCGACCCGCTTCGCTGTCGCTCGGTCAGTCGCGCGACGAGGCAAACCGTATGAAAGTGACGGGAGCAAGCGACCGAGGCGATGAGCGACGTTTTCTAAAACGTAGCATGTAAAATACCGTCCGACGGCACCCTTGCAGAGCGTTCAAGTGCCGTCGACGGCACTCCGCTCACGCCTTCAAGTGCCGTCCGAATGTCTCGTGTAAAGTGAATTGTCAAAACGAGTTTTTCGAAGCTGTAGCCTATTAACTTTACGTCAAGGTTTTGAGTTACGTCCGACGGAAATAAGTTACGGCCTGTGTAATCTACGGAACCTTATTGAATGCGTCGCTTTGTGGCCGAAACACGACGTAAACACAAAAAAAAAAAAAAAACATTATAAATTACTTCTGCGTTAAGTCCGATGCAGCATTCGTTAAATTAGTTAAAATCACGGCTCCATCTATACACCAACTCATGTTTACAAACAAACCGGAGCGCCCGGAGCGCCCCTAGCGGACGCCACCGGCGCCGCGCATGCGCGATGGGGGTGTGGGCAAAAAGCTCGCCGTCGCCCATAAACAAACCATTGAAATGCGGTGTTGTCGGCGTTGGTGTGAGTCCCCCTGCCCTTTTTCGCGTTCGAATTGTTGATTCTACGTCTTTCTGGCGATGTCTGACTATCTTGAGCGGCGTCAGCGAAACTACCGAGGCTCGTTACACCGCAAAACTTCGCGTGAATAATGTGACATGTCGCGATTCCTTCCGCGTGGATGCCGCAGTATGTACGCTAAAGCCTGATTCGCACGATGAGATTTGGCTCGCAATTTTCAGTCGCGACGCCGCTCGGACTGCAAAAGCTTGAACCGTAGTGGAGATGGTGACGTCGATACTGAAAATCGCAAGCAGAATCGGACCAAGTGAATTAGGCATAACCATCGGTGATGGTCACTGGTAACAATGATCAACATCTCCTTGTATCTACTGTTTACATTGAGCCTGCTTACTAACCTTCAAATTTAAGTCTTTTGAGGCCTGCACTTACGTCTTATCGTAAGTACCGGGCCATCATTTGGTCTACGGGCCGGCGTCGACTAAGAGAGCAGACGACAAGCAGAAACGTTTGAAAGAGCAGACGACAGTTCGAACAATCGGGCGGCCGTTTGAACTTGAAGACGCACTGAACGTAGTCCGCAGGTGGTCCGCACAACTTGACGGTTTTCTGTTTATGTTGGAACAAAACAAATAAATCTGATGACCACAAGTATCCGTGAATTCAACCCAAAGTGCTTCCCGCCCAAGCAATCCATGTCCGACGGCGTCTGCTTTTCCCTTTTCACGGCACATATCCAGATTCTCGGACGAACCGAGCACGTGAAAACTGACGTTCAAACCTTTCTCGACACTTTTGGTACGGCCACAGTCGCGGCGTTTTGACGAGAAGGCAGGTTTTTGTCTGGTTCCTTTCAAAACAACGCAGGAATACACGTCTGGCATGGGGACTTCTGCCCACAGCCCCAGACCGGAAGTGCGACCGACGCGCCACCACCGCGCCGTGACGTAACAGAGATGAGTTCGTGTATATACAGGTTTGTTGAGGGGGTTGGCGTTTGTTCCTCGTATGTAGAGGCTGCGTATGCCCGTCACATACGCTTTTTTATTTTTATCTTTTAGCAATTTTTTTTAAGGAGATTTTTTTTTTTTTTATATATGAAACCACTTCTTAGATGCGACGCACAAAAGAAAAGAAAAACATTAATAAAATGGAAACCGGAGCATGCATGCTGCGAGCCTGAGGTATCATTGTTGGGGTGTTGGTTTGTGGTTCGTAGGACAAATTGAGGGCCCATCGTCTCGTCTAAAGTGTCTAAAGCCATGAGCCATGATCTAGAAAAACCGTGTTGCTCATATGTTTAGACAGTTTTGGTGCTAGTACGCCTTCACTTGACTTGTCTCAGCTCTAGACGAGAAAGTTAGCCAGTGCAGTAGAATCGCTAACCTGGGGTCTTCGTGCACCATGCAGTAGTAATTACACGAACCCGTGCCGATACCACGACCTACGCCGGTACGAAACACATCCAGGTCGAAATGGGCAGCGGGTGGGGGTAAATTCATTTTTTATTTCGAGTTCCGTCGGACGTAACTCGAAACCTTGAGGTAAAGTTACGTCGGACTTAACTTTAACTTTTATTTCGAGTTCAGTACGTAACTTTAATTTTCATATTGGGCTACGCCGGACGTTACTTGAATCCTTGACGTAAATTTACGTGGGACGTAACTTTAATTTTTATTTCGGGTTCCATCGGACGTAACGCTAGACACTGCATTCTTTTTTTACGATTAACACTGGAAAACAACAACAACAAAAAAACCCGAAGGTTGTTGACGAAACTTTGCTGAACAAAAGGGTATGGGACTACCTTTCCGGAGGTGTATAGGGGACAGTGTGGCTTGCGTTGCTGGCTGGATGCCGCGAAGCGGCGTGTATGACTGGGTCAAGTGGGTTAATAGTTTTGTAATTAGCAGCCGCATTCTGTCGCCGCCAAGCGGCGTGAATGCAGGCGGGGGGGTGGGTTAACGAGCTCTCCTGTGATACACGTGTCGTCTGACTTTCCTTTGGACGGCACTGCAGACACAGCCTTTCTAGAAATTTCTAGAAGTCCGAAAACCGAGCGATTCAGCAAGCGACTGTGAGAAATCTTCGTTGCTCTTCACCGACTCCTGTCGCTTTTTCTGTTGCTCGCTAAATCGCTCGCATACGCTTTAGCCTTTACTGTGGCGCTTATTTGGACCAAATGAAGTATGTCAACAAAGTACTTAGAATCTGCACACTATCACGCAAGACATTTTCTTTTTAATTATTATTTGAGTATATAATGGTGTCTCCAAGCGGTGTTTGGGCCTAAAAAAATTCAGTTGAGGGCCATTAGACTTTCCACTATGTCTTTTGGTGGTACATTTATCATGCTCAAATTTGGTCTGTGAAGGTTCTAGCGAACAAAGCTGTAAAATTCTTATGCGCCGAGGAAAAACCGTCCAGTTGATGCTCTTTTTCACAGATGCCTCAACATAAAGCAAAGAAATGGAAGTTCCTTTCAGATGAGCACCTAAAAGCAAATCCAGCAGATCAAGTGTGTGGTACCATGATTCAGTGACAGTGCTAACCAGGTGATTCTAACCTTTTTGCTCCCTGTACTTTGGCAAAAAGATTATTTTTTTAGCTTAGCTAAAATCTACACCCACGAAGTTTGAATATAATTAAAGCCCTACCTAAAGACAGCTTTGTGAAAACTTTAATTGCAGCCAGTTCAATGGATTATTTATACAAATATTGTTAAGCTGCTGAGCACATACCTTTCACACTATTATTTCGCACAACCATTTTTTTTTTCTCGGGAAGAACAAGTAGGGCAGATCACTGTCGGGGTGCAGTGATCACTGATGTTATTGCTGTGCCAAACTGGCCCAAGGGCTAATCCTGATACATCCTGTTACATTTTGCTGAAATATGGGTAATCTTTGCCAAGCCTGCGCCAAAGGACCAATTTCGGTCTCCTTTCACAACCGAAACTAAACTGAGTACCGTAATTGAGCATGCGTGAGCTAAGTGGTGCAAGCGGCTGCCCGACACAAATTACGCTGCATTAGTCATCCATTCAGTCTTGCATGGTGTTTCCTGCCGTCTTTCGTTTCCTGCTCTCATCGTCTCGTGGGTCTCGTCTCACGTCTTTTTTAAATTTTTGTAACGACAGAGGCAAGCGTGTGCGGACGCTCCGACGCTAGCGTGCCGGGTACCAGCCATGCTGTCGTGTGGCTGGTACCCGGCACGCTAGCGTGAAACCACGTTTTTGCGCGGCACGAGCTACTTTGTGAGCTGAAGCACTTGCTCCTGAAAGCATCGGCCGTGGGAAAACTATATTTGGTCCCTGCCTACCAGTCACCGTGGTTGCATGACGTCGGGTGTTGCCTTCTCCACGTCACTGCAGATATGGCACTTTCTAAACTGAAAAGTACGGACCGCCGCAAGATCATCAACATTTCTGTCCTTGCTTAAATCATACGCTACTTCAAAAATCCCTTTTTAACCCAAAGACTGCTGTGTCGAAGTATTGATTACCTAGGTTTCTCTCGGTGGGCTTTCTTTTGAGAGGGACGCTGGTATGTGAAAAGTTTGCCGCGAAAGAAAGTTGGTGAAGAGAAGTGAGCTAAAGCAAAAAAGGCAATGTCTGCACGCTGAACCCGCACAGCGCGCTTGTTTGTCTCGAGTTCAGTCGTTGCACAATGCACTCCAAGAACTTTTGGACCCTGACTCGCAATGTCGTGCATCGATGTGCCCAGGTTCTTTGTTTCTGTGTGTTCAGCTTGTACCTTGCCTGCCGGCCTGGCAAGCACATGCCGCTGGACTGGACTGTGTTTTGTCGTATTCTGGACCGTTACATTTTGCGTACAATTTTGGAAACCAGTTGGCAAGGGAGCGGGGTGGCATGGCTTCGGTTTCGATAGAACAGTAGTCTCTGCTCGCGTGACAAAGCGCGTGCAACTGCAAGCTGCCGAAGTTGCCCTCACATGCATGCGAACGTGATTGCACGACAGAGGCACCAGCCGGGACGCTTGCAATCTATTGCTTTTTATTTGCTTGCTTTTGACGAAAATCTGGCACGTCGGGAACCAGTAAAACGGTGGCAAGCGTTTTTTTTTTGGAATTGCTCGGCAATGCCTACAGCATGGGCGTACCAACCGGGGGAACAAGGGTGGCGCTTGCCCCTCCCCCAGTTCTCAGGGGGGGGGGGGGGGGGGGGGCAAGGCATGTGTTCTGCCCCCCCTGAAACAGCCGCCACTGGGCAGGACAAACACTGGCTGGCGGCGCACAAGAGATACCAAGGGCACCGCCCTCCGGTCCGGGAGGGGAGGGGAGGGAAGGGAAGGGAAGGGAAGGGAAGGGAAGGGAAGGGGGGAGGAGGGAGGGAGGGAGGGAGGGCAGGCAGTGGAGTCGGGGAGTCTGGTTTGCCCCCCCCACTCAAAAACAAGTAGGTACGCCACTGGCCTACAGCACTGTACACTTGTGGGATATCTCAATGTCTTTTTGGAGACATTGAAAGTGGACATTCATTAATTGCCGAAGGCAAACCGAGGCTTGCAGCAGCCTTGCAGAAAATTTCGAAAAGCAAAAGAAAAAGCACCCGCTAGTCGTACTGGACCTTTTTCTTGTGTACAGTTTCGCAGTGCACTGCAGTAGTTACGTGTTTCATCACTCAAATACTGCTTCCCTTTATTATATTATATAACTAGTAAACTTTTTGCTTTGATAATTTTACTGCTAAGCGGGTCATTTTCAAATAAATATAATATGTGCAGTTTGGTTCTTATTTATCTATAGCGGGTACATATATATGTATCATTTAACTGAAGCATTGCAAAATGTGTCATGTCATTGGCATTTCAGTTAACATGTTCAAGACTTCCAGGTGGTCCAACTTGACCATAATTTGTTTATTGCGGCGAGCAAAGTGCCCTTAATTTGTCGAGCACTTAAAATTAATATTTTTATTTTTCTAAGAATATCTGCTCCAAAAGCCACTTTTTGCTGCCCTGAAACACTGTTTTGACCACTCCAAAAGCCACTTACTGCTCCAAAACACTGTTTTGCCTGCTCCAAAAGCCACTTTTGCTGCTCCAAAACACTTTTTTGGCTGCTCCACAATGGCTTAGGCCAATCACATCACTGAATGATGTTAGTGTGGATTAGGGCTCTTGTATATAAGCTCCAATGAGCGCATTCAGTAGCGGCTCCTTCAGCTCCGAACGGAGTAAGTCGAGTCGGAGTCCTTGGAGCGCCTACTGAACGACAAGAAAAACGCGGCTTCTCAGCTGCTTCTACGGAATTTCCGCTTCCGCCCCTGCCAGACGGTCTCCGAATAAAATGGAGGCAGACGATGCCGAGCGTTATCGCTTTTATTTGACGCCGGTAACGAAGAAATCTTGACAAGGTCGTTAAAGAGAAAGCGAGTGACTGTAAACATCAGCGCTGCTGTTCGAGGTTATCCAATGCCATTGAGCTCTTCGCAGGGCAGTGCAAAGGCTGCTTCTGTTATAAAAACCGAGAAAAACGTTGTCAGCACACGCAAAATATGGAGCTCAGTGAACCTCTGCCACCGGTTGCGATACTTTGGTACGGCCATGTGTTTGTTCTGCCCTTCGTTACAAACTTCCTATAAAATGTATTTGTATACACACGGGAAGTTTAACCTCACTCGGTGATCAAGGTTTTGTCCGCTGAAGCGAGCGTCAGCCAACTTACACCCCAATTTAGCTACGCAAACAGACCATTAATTGGGATCACGCTCTGCATGAGTGTCCAACCGGCTACCAAAGTCACGTTCATTGCCTGCCTTGCTCTGTTCAGTGCGGACAGGACTATCGTCGATATTCTCCCACTTTCTGTGCAACGTACGGCGATTAAGACACAGCTACAAATGAACCATTTACGTTGTTTATTAGCATATTCAAACCAAACAAAATATGGTCCAATGCATTGTCCGAAAAGAGCCTTACCTGGAAAAGAAATTCAAACGCGTTAGTCGTCTTACCTTGGGCACTTTTCACTAATAAAAGCGAGCAAACCGCACACCTGCAACTAAACCAACGCAGCTTATCCCGCCATTTCTTTTTCTCTTTTAGCATTGGAATTAGAATTTTGTCAGCGATCCGGAGTTACGTCATGCTGCGCTCCTTTCACTCCTCATGCACCGTCTTTAGAGACGGTGCATGAGGGCCTGACTGAAAACGTGCACCGGAAGTCGGTTTTTGCCGTCTAGTGGAAGGAGCGCTGACTCCTGGAGCTGCTACTGAACGTGTCTTTTGGGAGCAGAGTTGTTCCATCTTAAAATTCAAAGTTATGCGGGAAAGTCACTCTTTACGTGTGCAGGTGCCGTGCTTCGACGAATGCGGCTGGTGCTTTGAGCTCATTCTTTTCATTATCACTCTGACGACCACGTCGCACTTGATTATGTACTTGCAGGAAATATTTCGCCGAAGTACTATTTACAAAATGAGCCAGGCAACACGACACACAAAGAAACTTTCAAGTAGGTATACTTTTTGGTGACAAATTTAGTTTTATGAACAAGCACGGCTATGCATCGTTGGTTTTGAGCTCTGTTGATGCCAATTAATTGTCGCAATATCCATACTAATCCCACCTGCAGGTATCAAATGTAGGGGTGCGACATTGAGCATATTGAATGCTAGCAAATTTGCAATTTAGTGGTAACAACGAACTGTGATTCGAATATATAAATATGTTACTGATCATCCGCTTTAAAATAAAAAAGTTAAGTGCCGGTAATCCAGTACCATAGCCTCCTCTACACGGAGGAAGCCTGGCGCGTCGCGTGAAAAGACGGCCGCCGTAAATGGGAAAGGAGGGGCGGAGAAACGGGAGCGGAGAGAACCTTGCCCGCTAGCGCCACAAAAGAGCGAGCGGCCAAACGCAGAAACAATCTTTTTTTTTTTTTTTTTCTCTTTTCTTGTTGCTATCGTGGAGAGGAGAAACTCAACGTCCACCCTTTCCCGTTTCTCCCTGCGCCCTTTCGAATCGCCGGGCCCGTTTCTCCCGGAGTACGAAAACGACGGTGACGAAAACACAAAAACAAGCGTGGTTCGGGGAGCGGCCGCTCATGACCCAAGCGCTCGCTGTCTAGGTCTGCCCTTTCTGCTCTGCGCTACCATATTGGTCACCGTTCGGCGCGCTCCTCCTCTCCTTTTTCCTGCGGCCGCGCGCTCTATGGCTCCGTCGTCGATGTGCCAGGCTTTCTCCGTATAGAGGAGGCTATGCCAGTACTTAAAAAAAAGCTTTGGTTGCCTAGTTTATTTTATTAAAGCATCGGGTAAATTATGAACGCTAAGAAAAAAGCTTTCCCATCAGTTCAAAGAAAACATATTTAGTGCAGTAATTAGCTGGAATACCAAGGTTCTGTAATGTAATACCACGCACAGCCCTCATACTAGGACTTGACTTTTTGTATGTGGCGAGTTATCTTTTCCCGCAAAAAAAATCAATTTACTTTGGTTTTGTAATGGAATTAATCAGTACCTGAAAGAGTGATTTACCGTTCACAATTTGAGTTGCAAGTTCGATAATTCTGGCATACATACCCGAAAATATTTTGTCTCGAAATAAAGCAGGAAATAAAAACATGTACTCATGATCATACATTTATTAATATGCTGCTAAACAAAGGTTACAGGCTAATAATGCAGTTTTGGCAAAGAACTCTTGTTCCATGAACCCTTGCATTGCAAGTGACTTAAGTTGCTAGCTCGCTTGTTCCTTTGACTTTCAAAGCAGGAGGCACAGCGTGTGGCTATTTCTATTTTTAATGAATTATTATCATATTAGCAGTTTACAGAATTGGCATGCGAAAATTCTGAGGACGTCAGGTATGAATATTCATTAACTATAGAAATCATGCAACGAAATTTTGTTTGTCTTGTACAGTTTATGTTAACGACATTTTTTGTCCGAAGTGTACTGATTGCAGAAACAGTTTTAAATATGAAGAAACATCCAGCATCAAGTAGGATTTGATGCAGAAGGTCCCTCAATTCTTCCTAATTGAAAAAAGAATGATGGACAAAAAATAGATGAGTAGAGAAGTCAGAACATGACAAGTAAGCGGAGATCACAGCTTCACTCGCCAGCCTAAAAAAAAAGGTATATCTTGCAGTTCCTTTTTTTTTATGCTCTGATATACCTTAGTAAGGTAGTCTGTTTGGTGCCGAGATAAGCAATTTGGACAGTACTAACAAACTCAAAAACATTATTTATTGCTTTACAGTAGTGTATATCCCTACATACTGAAGGAATTCCAAAACTGCATTTTCCACTAGCTGTGTACAAAATTTCTTGGTACAATGGCACAAACAATTTTGATACGATAGCATCGCAGCCCCATATGTTGAGTTTTCATTAGTTTCACACTCTAATGAATGTAGTCTTACCAAATATGAGTGTCCTGAAGATATTTCTAAGTCCAATTAAAATTCCACTTGTCAGTGAAAACCAGGTCTGAACAGTATCGCGATACAAATGTATTGCATACCTGCCAACTCTTCCGAAGTTTTCGTAAAATGTACGAATTGGAACTAATTTTACGATTTTACGAATCTTGCTTCAAATCTTACGAAATATATATATATATATATATATATATATATATTTTTTTTTTTTTTATTTGTTTTGTTGTTGTTTTTGTAACTCCGTTGTTGGCGGTATCTTGCACCGCCACAAGAGAGCGATAGGTACCGTCCACAGCAGCGTCGTGGTTTTTACTATCCGTCTATCCAGTGGCCACGGATTGAAAAGCAATCCAAAGCTCAAAGCCTTTGTTCGTGTGTTCGGTGGTGCACACGTGCACGTTGGTTCGGCGTGTTCAGACGTTGTTGGGCCTCGTTGTTTTGGCCAGTTTGAGGCGAGAAGTATGGCGTCTGTGTTTGTTGCACGTGTAACTGTAGCATTCTCCTGGTCACTGTGGCTTCGCGACGCAATGCCGAACTCGAAACCTCAAAAGAGGTACTTTCAGGTGTTCCTGAAGTCCTACACGTCGAAATTTTCTTGCTTCGTGCCGCCCAAAAAGCGAGAGAAGTTTGGATTGTGTAGCACGTGCACGTGTGATGTACGCACGTGTGATGTAAGCGTTTCGCACGCTGGCCAGGCTGACATTAAAGGGGCACTGACACATCAAAATCATATTTTTTTTTATTATCCGAAACGGTCGAAAACGATGCCGGGACATTACCCTCAAAATTTGAAATTTGGGAATTCAGTATTCGTGAAGTAAAAAAACAATTTCCAAATGCCGAATTCGAAGTTCCCGCGCGATCGGCGCCGGTGCCTTGACGTCAAAAATTGCGGAGACCTGAGAGTCCCCTTTCCTGTCACCACTCCCTGCTGTTGCCATGGCGACCCAAAGCGAGGAGGAAAGGAGCGAGCGCCGGCTAGCGCCGGCGTTGCTGCGGACCGGTTTTGAGCGGTGTCGCCTGTTTTCCGTTGGAGGATACAAATCCAGGAGACGGCACCACAACGAACTCCCGATTTTTGGTATTTCAAAAAGAAGGGCCGTAGTGCGTTCGTAATTGCGTTAAAAAACATGTTTTAGGATTGCCGTCATTAAATGTTATAAAGATGCCGCCTACAAAGCTTCTAAATTTCCTGATTTTTGACGTCACCGATCAAAAGAAGCGAGGAGGCGAGGGGCGGGAAAATCAAACGCCAAAAATAAAAAGGCGCGCGAGCGCGCGGGAAAATTTTTTTTCGCGATGCGGTTTTTTTTGCGTGTCTATGGCTGCAACTTGCGTCGTTTTAGACAATAAAAATAAATACGACCTTTGGGGTGTCAGTGCCCCTTTAAGCTGCACATTGCTTCGCGTAACCCCCCCCCCCCCCCCCCCCCCCGCTGCAGCCGCGACTTTTATGAATTTGAAAGTCCACAGGTTAGCAGGTATGGTATTGTGATAGTATCTTAGAGATACTTTCGAGTATCTGTACCTCTGTATCGAGATACATTTGTAAAATGTATTTCTATCTCAGTAGTGAAATACATTTACAACATATCATTTGTACCGCGATACTTTGCCTGACTTGGGCATCTCTTTACATCTGTTGCCTTTTTAAGATAAATTTAAAGGATAAAAGCATCTGTTTGGTGCAACTTGCTTTGGAATTTATAATATGAACCTGCCCTATAACATAATCCATCTCAATCACCAACAATAAGAAAAATAAAATTGTGTTTTAAAGAGGGTTACTTGCAAGAATAACAAAATCAGCTCCTCTCACAAAGCCCTCCACTCTTTCCAATTTAGCAGAATGAATGCTCGAAAGGAGTTGAGTGGAGAAAAAGTACAGCCCTGTTGTCCAATCTCCCTACACTATGGGTGACTCAGAGGCTCATAATGTGACAGTTTGAAATGCACCCTCACGGCAAAACTGGGTTCATTTCGGGCAGACGCCTTTTGTCAAGCATGGTATGCAGTCTTTACCGTTCTGTAACTATGTGGTTCAATGGGGGCGACATGTTTTTTTAGCGGAACCAATGGATAGATGAAGAGTTTGAGGTAATGGGTAGTGCATAAATTGGCACAAAAAGAGGGGCACAAGCATAAATTACCTTTCGCATTCGCCACAAACTGCACCCTCTCCACGTAGCATTGTTTGGGAACAAGTGTATTTCTATAAGTACAGTATCTGTATTCCGGAATACTTTTTCGCCGTTATTGCGGAAGTATCTCAGGGATATCCCGTTGCATAAAAGGCAAATGTATCTCAATATCTGTATTTTGGCCTTAAAACACTGTAGCTCAGTATTTGTATTCCCAAATACTTTTTGGAGTATCTCTGCCCAGCCCTGGTAAAAACATGGTAGCACTAATTCCGAGCGTTGCGAATATTTTGTGTAAAGCAAGGTTGATTCTGGTCTTTCCAAAACAAAGATGAGTGCAAACAGTCTTCCAGTGACAAGCGGCCACCTGTGCCAAGTGTTCCTATGACAAGAATATCTAGATCGAGGAGGCCGTTGTGACCAGTTGTAACAAGTTTTCCAGTGACGAGTTGAATTGTGACGAGGGACCCAGTTCGAGGGGAAAACAAACAAACAACTCAGGCTCTCTGACGGGGAGCCAATCTAGGATGTCTAGTCCAAGCCATGTGTAAGGCCACGACAACTAGCTGCAACGATCAGGCTCTGTGCAGTTTCCATTTCAACTTTGTAGCTCTTTTAAACACTCATCTATCAATTCTTGGACCATACGTTCGGGAATTGCAACATCTGCCTTGTCCCCTGCTCGCGTAAGACCAGGTGCAGTGATGCGGAGGCAGCATCCTCCAAAGTTGATATCTCTCCATTGCAGACTACTATACCAGCCGTTTCTGCAAACGCTTTTAAAAGTTCCTACTAGTAGCGTGTTCGAGAAATAAACTACTTTTCGGGAACAAACTGCCGACCGCAAGGGACGTTGAAGATTGCAGAAAAGAATCACGAATTAGAGAAAATGAACAAATGGTCCTGACTAGAAACTTGCTGAGCGTCATTACAAACTCAAAGATTAGTCATTTATAAGAAGAGAAAGCATGTGTGAAGCATGGGGATGTGCTAAAGTTCCCACTCATGGAGCAGGAAGAAGGCTGGCAATGTGAAAATGCACATGATAACAAAATCATCAGTGTTTTTGCATCACCAGCCTTCCACCTGCTGAACGAGTGGAAACTTCAAACACATTTTCACATTTCACACATGCTTTAACTCTTCCCAAGGTTGACTCATTTAAGGGTTTTTGATGAGTCTTAGCAAGCTTCCTAATGAAACAATGTTTATTTTTTACAAATTAACAAATTAGCACAATTTAAATATTTGATTTGGTAAATACCAAAAATACCGCAGAAGCACCCACTTCCTTCCAGCGCCAACTAATCATAATAATAATATATTTATAACGGCTTCCGACAGCCGTGATGCCACAAAACATTTTCCAAACTTCGGAATTTTGCAAATTATACGTTAACCGCCCGATTGGACCGAACAAGTGGCCATGTCTACATTAACCTAATTTTCGGTGAAAATGGAGTCGATGCTTCCCCGATATTTTGCAGTAGTGTTTTTTTCTTTTGTTTTTTGTAATTACTGACATTTGCCGTAAATGCCGGTTTGTTCCGAAAATAAATTTTTTTCAACAACCCAATTTAAAGGAATTTCTGAAACTTCTCATTGTGTGAATGCTCGTAATGTTAAGCATTAAGCAAAACTCAAAAAGTTTTTTAGAGCGCAGCTCTTAGGCGCTCGTTCCCGGCTTGAGCGGCGTCGGCGTCGCCGTCGGCGTAACCGCGCGGTGCATTATGGGTAAATTTCCCTGCTAAATCTAGCGGAAAAATTTCCCTAAATTTAGCGGAAAAAATTCCCCGCTAGATCTAGCGGAAAAACTTCCCCGCGAAACCTAGCGGAAAAATTTCCCCGCTAAATTTAGCTGAAAAATTCCCCGTTAAATCTAGCGGAAAAATTTCTCCGCTAAATTTAGCGGAAAAATTTACCCGCTAAATCTAGCGGAAAAAATTTCCCCGCTAAATCTAGCGGAAAAATTTACTCGCTAAATCTAGCGGAAAAAATTTCCCCGCTAAATTTAGCGGAAAAAATTTCCCCGCTAAATCTAGCGGAAAAATTTCCCCGCTAAATCTAGCGGAAAAAATTTCCCTGCTAAATCTAGCGGAAAAAATTTCCCCGCTTAATCTAGCGGAAAATATTTCCCTGCTTAATCTAGCGGAAAAAATTTCCCCGCTAAATCTAGCGGAAAAAATTTCTCCGCTGAATTGAGCGGAAAATATTTTCCCGCTAAATCTAGCGGAAAAAATTTCCCCGCTAAATCTAGCGGAAAATATTTCCCCGCTAAATCTAGCGGAAAAATTTCCCCGCTAAATCTAGCGGAAAAAATTTCCCCGCTAAATCTAGCGGAAAAATTTACTCGCTAAATCTAGCGGAAAAAATTTCCCCGCTAAATCTAGCGGAAAAATTTCCCCGCTAAATCTAGCGGAAAAAATTTCCCCGCTAAATCTAGCGGAAAAAAATTTCCCCGCTTAATCTAGCGGAAAATATTTCCCCGCTTAATCTAGCGGAAAAAATTTCCCCGCTAAATCTAGCGGAAAAAATTTCTCCGCTAAATCGAGCGGAAAAAATTTTCCCGCTAAATCTAGCGGAAAAAATTTCCCCGCTAAATCTAGCGGAAAATATTTCCCCGCTAAATCTAGCGGAAAAAATTTCCCGTTAAATTTAGCGAAAAAAATTTCCCCGCTAAATCTAGCGGAAACAATTTCCCCGCTCGGAAAAAATTTCCCCGCTTAATCTAGCGGAAAAAATTTCCCCGCTAAATCTAGCGGAAAAAATTTCCCCGCTTTAGCGGAAAAATTTGCCCGCTAAATCTAGCGGAAAATTTTTTCTGGGGGTCACGTGACCCCCTGAGGTCACGTGACCCCCGTGGTCACGTGACACCACCAGGTCACGTGACCTTGGGGAGGGGATGTGACACCACCAAGGTCACGTGACCACCCCCCCTCGAGGTCACTTGACCCCCCCCCCCCTGAAAACACGTGAACCTCAGTACCCTTCCCTCCTCCTCCTCAAGAGCTGCGCTCTAATTCGGCGTTACAGGGAGTTGTAAACGGCTTTCATTTTTTGGAAAGAGAAACACTGCGGTCTTCCTGTATGGGTGGATCTGATCATCCCAAGTTCAGTCCGATCTACCTAAAAAAATTAAGCGCTCTCTACAAAACAAGTTCTGCAAATATATAGCAAGAACTAATGGGTTGCAACGTCATAGTTATCTCAGTGATGTGATTGCTGCGCCAATTGCGCCAAACTGCGCCCAGGGGCTAACCCTGCTACATCTTGCTACATTTTGCCGAAATATGGGTAATCTGCGCCAAGCCTGCGCCAAAAAACAAATTTTGGTCGTCTTTCAAAACCGAAACTAAACTGAGTACCGTAATTGAGCATGCATGAGCTAGGTAGCGCAAGCGGTCGCCCAACAAAAAGTACCCTGTGTCAATCGTCCATCTGGTTTTGCATAGTGTTTCCCGCCACCTCTCGTTTCACGCTCTCGTCGATCATGTGTCTCGTCTCGCGTCTTTTTAAAAAAAAAAATTTTTAACGATAGACGCGGCCGTGTGTTGACGCTTCAGTGCTTCAGTTGTTGTACAAAGCGCTCCAAGTACTTTTTGACCCTGACTCGCGATGTCTTGTTTTGACCTAACTCGCTCAGGTCCTTTTTTCTATGTGTTTAGCTTGTACCTCGCCTGCCGGCCTGGCAAGCACGTGCCGCTGGACTGTTCTTTGTCGTATTTTGCATACAATTTTGGGAACCAGTTGGCGACAGAGCGGAGTGGCATGGTGTCTGTTTCGATCGAACAGCCATCTCTGCTCGTGCGAAGAAGCACGTGCAAATGAAAGCCTGCCAAAGTTGCCCTCATTTGCATGCGTACATGACTGCACGACAGAGGCACCAGCCGGGACGCTTGCAACCCATTGTTTTAAGTTTGCTTACTTCTGACGAAACTCTAGCACGTCGGGAACCAGTAAAACGCTGGCAAGCGGTTTTTCGGAATTGCTCGGCAACGACCACCGCACTGTTCAGTTGTGGGATGTCTCCATGTCTCTTTGGAGACATTGAAAGTGGGAATTCATTACTAGCCAAAGGCAAAGCGAGGTTTGCAGCAGCCTCGTAGAAAGTTTCGAAAAGCAAAAAGTAAAGCACCCGCTAGTCCTTGTCTTGTATACAATTTCGCATTGCACTGCGGTAGTTACGTGTTTCATCAGTCGGAGACAGCTTCCATTTATTATATTATATTAACTATGCAGTCAACCTAATGCTGTGATATTTACTAATAAGCTGGCCATTTTCAAATAAATTTTAATATGTGCAGTTTGGTTCTTATTTATCTATAACGGTACATATATATGTATAACTTAACTGAGGCATTGCAAAATGTGTCATGTCATTGTCATTTTAGTTACACGTTGAAAGACTCCCAGGCCTTCGAACTTTACCATAATTTATTTATTGCGGCGAGCGAAGTGGCCTTCGTTCGTTCAGCACTTAAAACTAATATGTTTATTTTTCTAAGAATATCTGCTCCAAAGGCCACTTTTGCTGCTCCAAAACGCTGTTTTGGTTGCTCCAAAAGCAACTTTTGCTGCTCCAAAAAACTGTTTTGCCTGCTCCAAAAACCACTCTTGCTGCTCCAAAACACCGTTTTGGTTGCTCCAAAAGGTGCTCCAAAACGGCTTAGGCCAATCACATCACTGTTATCTCAGATTTTTTCTTTTGGCAGTCTCCCCTTTAACTAATAGGAATTTTACTGTAATGGCAATTTGACAGAAAGCCAGAAAACGGGTTGTTTAACATACGCAAACGACCACCATTTTCTCATTCATTTGTCACTGTTATCCTAATATGGCAAAATTGTGGGTGTGTCTCTTGTGTGTTATCCTCATAGTTGTCTGGCTAACCTAATGTGCTTGGAGGGTGTGCCTGCTTTGTTCTTAATTACAATGATTGCTTTCTACATTTCGTCCCAGTCATCTCAAGTGGTCCTGTGCCCCCTTCGTGATCGTCCATGCCTACTTACGAACCTGATCACAGCCAGCAATTCTAATGGAACCGATCCAGTCCTCAAGTCTTGGTAAGTTTTTCGTTTCAACCTCTTTCATAACGAGAGTACAGTGGCTGTGTCTAGACTACAGGTGGTTATAGCCCAATGCAGCGCTTCTTGTACACCTGTCCACAGATTCCTACCAGTTCGTCCCGATTTGGGAATCCTCCACCAGGGACGCTCAGATGAAAATGTGCAGAGTGATATGGATTATGCTTCTCAGGAAGGGAAGCAAGCACTAGGATTAAAGTTTAAGGGAAGTTTGTGGCAGTTGGAAGAGCGTGAGGCAAGGTAAATTTGTAAATAAATCAAGGGCAAACGCCAACCAATCCCTAAAAGATCGTAGGGTCCCAACGTTTCGGTGCCGGCTCGGCACCTTCTTCAGGGGGGCTATTTAAAAGAGAAGCAGCTTCTTTCTTTTCTTCTGCGGTCACCGCAGAGGAAGTGAGCTATCTGGAAGGTACCAGGAAAACATTGGGAAACAATAAACAGTGTAGAATGTCAGCCATTGTTTCCTAGTCCTTTTTAGAGCGCAGCTCTTAGGCGCCCGTTCCCGGCTTGAGCGGCGTCGCCGTCGCCTTAACCAAGGTCACCCCAAGGTCACGTGACCCGCCAGGTCACGCCAAGGACACGTGACCCCCGAGGTCACGTGACCCCTCCCAAGGTCACCTCAAGGTCACGCGACCCCCACGTGACCTGGGAGGTCACGTGGCCCCCCTCCCCTAGGTCACGTGACCCCCCCCCCCCCCCGAGGTCACGTGACCCCCTCCCCACCGAGGACAGGTGACCCCCCCCACCCCGGAGCATATTAAAGAATGAGGGGAGGAGGAGGGGTCTACCCTCCCCTCAGTACCCTTCCCTCCTCCTCCTCAAGAGCTGCGCTCCAAATCGGCGTTACAGGGAGTTGTAAACGGCTTTCACTTTTTTTTTTATTCTCAAAACATGCCACAAAGTTTTATTGAAAATCTTTAATTTGTGCAAACATTAGAGAAAACATTCCTATTCTTGGCCATCTAATGCGTCCATTCAGTAGGTTTTGAGCATGTCATACTCTTGAACACGTTTGGGAAGGTAGAAAGCAACAACTAAAGACGAAATGAATTTTTTTTTTTTTTTAATTTGTGTGCGAATTACGGTTTTAAATAGAGTGTTCAGGGTATCAGAGGCGGGGTTGCAAACACTTACAAACAAAAGTCTTTGAGTATTTCTTCTTCGGCTAAAAACATGCGCATTGAGGCCATGCCACCTTTTTTCATATTGCTGACATCTAATTTTTTTCCGGGTTTTGTGTGTTTGTGTGTGTGTGTGTGTGGGGGGGGGGGGGGTCGAGGAGTCTGCAGTTTGATCAATATGAAACAGACTACCAAAACCCCTAAATACTGCCATCTGTGTAAAAGAACAAATAAAAGCTTCCAAACTCAAACATAAGAAAAGACTTGTGGTGCAGTTTTGTAGCCCATAACAGAAAGCACAAAAGAAACTCCTATTACCAGCCTACAGTGCATAAAATTAAGATGGAGACAGGCAAACTTTTTTAACAAATCAAAATGAAATTGTCTATCGTCTGACGTAAAGATGAGGATACTAAAGACCCCGAGTTCTAAGTAGAGATAATAATCATATCTTTATTGCACGAAGAAATATACATTATTACAAACAGGTCCACAAAAGCATGTGAGTGCTCGTAGGCATGACTTGGCAACCAGCAGAGAAACTACTAACAACATCAAATAATGCAAAGCACAAAATAAACAGAAAAACGCAGTACTCTTAACCTGTACAACAATTTAAAAATCAAAGGTACAACACCAATTTCTACGCTCTTTTTTTATCGCTTTCAACGACTGTAGATGTAAAAGTTCGTCAGGGAACAAATTAATGAGGAACGCAAAAAGACTGAACCCACTTTCCGTAATTTGTGTATACCCTAGGGAGGACGAACCGCTCTATTTTTCTCAAAACCTTTAGTTTTTTTACAGGTTTCTTAAACATACAATTATAATAATTCTTAACTGGTATTTCATAGATATATGATCTTTGAGTTGACAAAAGCTGTAGCGGACACATTTCTGACTGTTCTCAACTCATCCAATTGGTTTCATATGCTAAATTTCAACAAATGTTATGCAAAATATTATCTAATTTACTTTTTCTAGAGTTCAAACAAGAACCATAAAGCGTAACACCATACCGAAGCACCGACTCTCCCAGAGCTTGAAAAACCCTCATTCTCAAAATCAGGTTGGTTACACCTCGCAAACGATATAAAAATACAGGCACTGCGCGAAGTCGTTTTGCAATATACTCACTATGACCATTCCAAGAAAGATGTTCATAAAAAAAAAAACCCAGATAATTTATTAAAAATACATATTCAAGTGGCATACAATTACATCTCTCGCAGTTATATCTATGTAGAACCAGCGGTATATTAAATGTTAGTGTTATGAGGATTACGGAAATACATTAGTCCGGTTTTACTTATGTTAACACAGATACAATTGTTTTTGAACCATGCCATTAGCTCGTAGATATTGGCTTGAAGGGACGATAGAGCTTTCGATTCATTGTTTCTTGCGAGTACAAGAGCGGTGTCATCGGCGTATTGAAAAACGCGTGAAAAAGAGTTCAATTTACCTGTTGCATTCACATAGCTGTTAAAAATCCCTGAGCTGGTTTCCTCATCTTGCAGCTGCGGCCGCGGATGCGGCTAAGAGGGATTTTTACGTCACGTGACCAGCTCCATGGGGACAAGGAAGTACCTAGCGTCCCCGCCTAATGGCGGAGAGATCCGCATCGCTTCAAGCACAAAAGCCTAATTTCGCTCGCAGAAACTGATTGGAGGGACTTTCAACTGGATCTAATTGACCGCCCCTTTATACTGTAGGAGCGGCAGGTAAAGTTACGGCCAGGGGGGGGCAAATAGGAGCCAAAATAAAGAAAAAACTACACAAGATAAAAGCGGTAACGGTATTTTTATATACCTCCGCCGGCGCCGCGCCTCGCGCCTTCTGTTGCGGTCGAGAGGTTAAAGCGCCGGTACTTGTCGTCGCGGCGTGAAAGTTCCGGGTTCAAATCGCAATAGGGACTTCTTTTTTTGTGTGTGTATTTTGCGCGTGTCTTACCTTTTAACTGCGATCCTTTTTAGGAAATCATCCACTTGCACTGCTGCACTTTACACGGTTTTTACTGTTAGTCCCACCTGTTCAATCGAAACACCGGGAAGAGAAAAAAAAGATCAACGCAAGTTAGCGCGCTAATACAATCATTTCATAATGTTCATTAAAAGAAAACCAAGGTAACAGCATCGGTATGGCTTTCACACAAGCGGAGTCGAAACAAGCATCCTTTCCCCAGCAACTAAAATTTTATCTGTTTTTAAATAACGCTCTTGCTACGATTCCTTTCAATAACAAGAGACGCCTATTTAGGACTAAAATAAAACTGCAGTTGTGGCAATTAAAAAAAAAAACACTAAAAAAAAAAAAGACTAGCAGCTGTAGATACATTGATTGAGCGAAATCCTACAGGCAAGGCAGCAGGTCAAACGTCTGAGAAAGTAGTAAAACTGAACTAAAAGAGATCATACTTTTACTTGCATGGAATGAGATAAAAAGTATATTTATACTCTTTACATTTTGTTGTGGCAATCGTTTTGTAATATTAACACATTACTTTGTTGAATTTTAGTTAGACTAGCAGACGATCACGACCAAATGCAAAAATGAATCAGGCGTCGACATCGCAAACCCTCTCTTAATGCAAACGCCTAAAATGACTTTGGATCAAGAAATGGAATTACTTATATAATTGATTTCATACATTGATCCAAAGTCATTTTAGGTGTTTGCATTAGAGAGAGGGACCTAAAATAACTTTGGGTCAAGAAATAAAATTAATTATAATTGATTCCATATGTTGATCCAAAGTCATTTTAGGTGTTTGCATTAGAGAGAGGGACCTAAAATGATTCTGGATCAAGAAATGGAATTAATTATAATTAATTCCATTTGTTGTTCCAAAGTCATTTTAGGTGTTTGCATTAGAGAGAGGGTTTGCGATGTCGACGCCTGATTCATTTTTGCATTCGGTCGTGATCGTCTGCTAATCTAACTAAAATTCAGCAAGTAATGTGTTAATATTACAAAACAATTGCCACAACAAAACGTAAAGAGTATAAATATACTTTTTATCACATTCCATGCAAGTAAAAGTATGATCTCTTTTATTTCGGTTTTACTACTTTCTCAGACGTTTGACCTGCTGCCTTGCCTGTAGGATTTCGCTCAATGTATCCACAGCTGCTAGTCTTTTTTTTTTCTTTTTGCTTGTTTTTTAGAGTTTTTTAATTGTCACAACTGCAGTTTTTATTAGTCCTAAATAGGGGTCTCTTGTTATTGAAAGGAATCGTAGCAAGAGCGTTATTTAAAAACAGATAAAATTTTAGTTGCTGGGGAAAGGATGCTTGTTTCGGCTCCGTTTGTGTGAAAGCCATACCGATGGTGTTACTATGGTTTCCTTTTAATGAACATTATGAAATGGTTGTATTAGCGCGTTAATTGCGTTGATCTTTTTTTTTCTTCCCAATGTTTCGATTGAACAGGTGGGACTAACACTAAAAACCGTGTAAGGCGCAGTAGTGCAAGTGGATGATTTGCTAAAAAGTATCACAGTTAAAAAGTAAAACACGCGCAAAATACAAAAAAAGAAAAGAAGTCCCTAGCGCGATTTGAACCCGGAACTTCCACGCCGCGACGACAAGTTCCGGCGTTTTAACCTCTCGACCATAGCAGAAGGCGCGAGGCACCGGCGCCAGCGGAGGTATATAAACATACTGCTACCGCTTTTATCTCGTGTGGTTTTTTCTCTATTTTGGCTCCTATTTGCCCTACCTGGCCGTAACTTTACCTGCCGCTCCTACAGTATAAAGGGGCGGTCAATTGGACTCCAGTTGAAAGCCCCTGCAATCAGTTTCTGCGAGCGAAATTAGGCTTTTGTGCTTGAAGCGATGCGGATCTCTCCGCCATTAG